AGCTGAATTAAGTTAACTGTTGGTGGTATTTGATTTTCCAGTTTCGATTTAATCCGAGGTAGGAAGAAAGGAGCCACCTTTACAAGAAATGGGGAGGAAGAAAAAATTCATCGACAAGAAAAAATCGGCCACATTCCAGCTCATGGCCCGGGACACCTCTGACCCGAACTACTCGCCCGACCCATCTGGAGACCGAGTTTTTGTCCGGGTAGACGACAATGATTATGCACCCGAGTCGTTCGATGAGGGTGGTCCAGATGGCGACCCTTTAACCTCCAACCCTGACTCGATTTTTGCTGATGCCCCTGAAGATTCTGACGATGAGTATGTGGCCAAAAACTTTGGAGGAGTTCAAAACTGTAAGACCCAAACGAATGGGTTGCCAGACCATGTACGAAAGGAGATTCTTGAACTTGGGTTTCCGGATGATGGATACAATTATCTGGCCCATTTACGGGAGATTAAAAACACGGGAGGTGGTTCGACATATTATCAGAATCCAAAGGCTGATTTTGTTCAGCTTCCAAGAGATGTTAAGGTCTGTTTCGATTTCAATTGCAAAGTTTGTTCTTGTTCTGTTTTTCCACCCAACATAAGAGTGGAACTATAGCAATCCTAGTATAATTTATAACATCGTAATGGTATTTTTGGTAATTTACTTGCCGGGGTTTAATGATAAAAGTTAAGAATTTCAAGTTGTTATGTGAAATGTAAAGAAAGTATCATTGTTATTTGGGTTAATATAATTATATGCAGATTGTGATATTTCGTTTATCTGCATGTGTATTTTCATTAATTCATGAACTTTGTTGTTTGTGTTACAGGCCTATGATGCTTCAAGGGTTGAGATTTCCAAGATAAGCGATGTTTCTGAAGAGAAATCAATCTACAATGTGGCATCAAAGACTTTTGGCGTGAGATTGCAGAAAGTGGTGGATCCTGAAGTGGCAGCTATGCTGGAAGATGGTGCCTCGTCAAAGTATGCTTCTGATGTTGAGGACTTAGAAGAGGATTTTGTTGTTTGCGCAAATCTCTTAGATGGACCAGCGGCTGAAGAAAATGATGAGAAGTTGATTTTTGCTGCTGGCTCGAATTCTGATCATGTAAAGACTCGGGATTTGGGTACTTCCAGTGCAAAAGAGGAACAGGGAAGTGTTTCAGCCTTGGACAGTGATAAGCCGAGAGTTCGCCGTCCTCTTGATGAGCACTTTGATTTGGTACGTCTGGTTATGTTTCAACTTTTGTGACGATTTCATTCATTCTCCCATGCAATATGGTCTTTACTTTCTCAAGAATAATCCAAGGGCCCAATTAATAATGATAGAAAACACACAATACACATAAGGAAAACTATAAATTAGTACTGCCGACATAAAATAAATAAATTAGTTCGATTGTGCATGAATATTCAAAAGTAAATAACTTTAATTGAATACTTTATACCATCATAGCAGTTCCCTATTCATCATATTGTGGTACCGTTGCATAATAGCTTTATTGCTAATATTTTAAAAAAGATATATTCTGGTACAGTGCTGGGCCTAGTGTATTGCGTCCCTGGTTAAATGAAATAAAAGGTTTATTTCCAATCTAATTGTTTGTAGTTGGTTTACTGAAACTTTTTATAAACATAAGAATGGTAACACATAAATTTTGTACTACGTGGATTTTTTTTATCATTTTTTTTCTCTTGAAATTCTGGTACTTAATAGTGTCTCTGGCTCTGTGCTTTTAACAAATTTGAATATTTCCAGTAAAAAAAAACTCCTAATATTAGACATGAGTTTTTGGTGGAAACAGTCTTTCCAGTGAAAAATCATTGCACTCCAAGGAAGAAAACTCTCCATGGTTCTAGTATCATCATAAATGTCATTGCGGACTCAAATCGTGTCATTTAAACCTTTGAACAAACCTTTGAACCGAAGCTTTATATATCTTGTTAGTTGATTTCCCTTTTTGAAACTCGAGCCCCAAACTGATCAAAACCACTGTACACACAGCTCGAACTCCAGGAATATGGTGACGACAATGAGGAAGAAGAAGAATATGACGGGTACATGGATGACGAGGATAACAATCAAGAAATACTCACAGAGAAGCTCAACAGTGCCTTCAAAGACTGCCCATCGGGTCTTTTACGCCTCGGTGGGGCCGTGGAAGAAAACGAGCCTCCCGAGCCGACACCTGAGGTGATTCAGCGGTGCAGAGAGTACGCAGAAAAGTATGAAAATGACGATAATGACCTTGAGGAGGTTTTGGTCGAGGAAAGCAGTGATGAGTCTGAGGTGTGGGATTGTGAGACCATTGTCACCACCTACTCGACACTTGATAATCACCCCGGGAAAATC